CTTATTTAGATACGAGTATAGGAGAAATACATCGTATAGGGAGTGAAGAGAAGCGCGCATATAAATAATTATTGTCACTTTCAGTTTAGTTCAGCCTTAAGTGAGCAATCGTTGGAGTAAGGGCAGCGACAATAGCTAATTGTGAAAAACCCCCTCTCGGCAGAACACACCTACGCAATTACTGTAATTGCTCTCCAACCCTATTTGGACGCTGACCGTAACATTAGCACAGTGCATTTTATGTTTTGTTTCTATAATTACATTTTACTTGACTAGTTGATGTAGTTCTAACTAAGTTTTGATCTCTTGCCACACTTATGATTCGTTGAGGTATTTTACCCAATTTGGTAATTCTACCGAATTAAATTCATTGATATCATTCAAAATTCCGTCCCAGTCGATATTTTTTATTTGATTTTCCAAGGAAGTACGATATATCGGCATCAAGATTGTACGATTTCAATAATACAATTTTTATCAATTATACGACATGAGATTTAAGCCGAAGTAAGCAATAACAGTTAGACCGAGCATACTGTAAATCAAAAGCCGTAGAGCGTTGCGACCTTAAAGACGAAGATGTTATGTCTATTGAAACTAGCGAACGTGTGACATTTGGACAGTAATGAATGCAATCCTTTGTTGATTATTTGTCGTACGTAAACTCAAATGATTCCGATTAGCATTAACATTCCGTTCGGTTAAAGTTGTCAAAGACGTGATATTTAGCTTTGATGGCTTCGTAATGTCTTAGATATAGAACATCGTACCGCATTTAAAACAGATGTATAAAATTCGTTGCTGTTGGTGAATTTCTGGAATTCCAAAATATTTTGCGGCTAAAGAACAGTAGGAAGGTTTCATGGGAACAATAAGTACGCTCGTTTGAGGTTTTTCATCTTGTACACAGGTCAGTGATCAATGCCTCTTTGGCAGCTTTGAGAGAACCATTGCGCATCTTGTCAAACTTGACCTAGATTAATCACAAGTCTGTTCGCGAAGAAGTTACAATAAAAAGGTGAGAGAACGCCTTATGAGGTTTAGGAAAATACATTGATTGCATTTGTACAAGATCAAAGGGATAGGAGCGTGACTGGTCTCTTTTATGTCAAGAATAGGTAACGATTGTTTTTTGGTAATCGGTTCGTTATGATATTAATCCCGTTCAATCTTAGCACAGAACCATTTGGCCAAAAGCAGTGTTGGCCTAAAGGGCGTTCTTCCAAATATCAGACATTTATCACCATGTTCACAGAGAAATTCTTTTGCAGATAAGAGTATGACAAGTAGTAGTTATTGTATTTCTATGTAAAGGTAATATGTTGAGATTAGTTGAGATTTAGTTGTAAATCTCTAATCTCTATTGATATATAAAAATTTCAACCGAAAAATATTGCATAGTTGTACTTGTCGACGATGATGCATCGTTGAGACAGGAACCCGAATAATGGGGGAAAGCACAACTTGTAGTCAAAAGAATCTGCATATTATGACGGCATGATTATACACTAAGATCATGTGTTGACGATATTACTAAATATGAATTTATATATATAATAGATATAAATGCCTACGAATTAGTTTTGCTTTCCCACAGTATCAACTGCCGTTTGATTAGATTCCTGCTAATAATGGTTCAGCAAGGATGGGTCAACAAACACACTTTCGTCAAGTATTAGACAACATATCACACACTTACTTCATCAATCTGCATATATTCACCAATTTCTGCGTCTAGCTCCTGCTGCGTTTTTTTTTGCCTGTTATCAGGCCTACGACCACCACGACCGCCACCACGGATGCCACCACGACCGCGGCCGCTACCACGCGCTGGCAATCCTCCTCGAGGTGCACCGCTCACAGCTCCACGAATGGGCGTAATACGGCTTCGCCTACAAATTGAAGTTTCCCAATTAGACCTTATTATATTCAGACAATGCGAAAAACGTAGAAGATATTATTATTAACCGACGAGCCCCCGCAGCAATGGGTCGTGGCATATAAAGCACTGCGCTTACAGTAAATAATAAATCACAGATTTCATCAATACTTACTCTTGTAAATTACCGATGCGTTGTGAAATAGGGTTGGCTCCACTGTTGGTTCCCGGAGCGACAACTATTTCGATCTTTATCTCACGTCCTGTGATACCAAATAAATTAATATTCAAGACAACCATATTCAAACGTCGAGTACCCAGAAATATCATCCTATAACTCACCGTCCAGAGTAATATTCCGCATCTTTTCAACAGATCTTACGGCATCTGCTCTTCTCTGGAAAACAACCGAAGCGGTGCCTTTGGATCGTCCATTTTTATCGAAGTTGAGATTCACTCGACGTACGGGGCCGATCATAGTTGTGAAAAGTTCCTGGGTGTTGGAAAGAAGGAAGAGAGGTGTCGAAGTGCGAGTGGGTGTGGGTGTGTATTGAAGTGAGAGTGATTGTTTTCATGGAGTAGGAATAATGGTGATTGTATCGAGAGTAAGAAGGAAGGACATCGGTCTTTTTCAAAGTCCCAAAGCCACTAAACAAATAAAGTGCCGATGACGACTACTATACTTTCGTACAAAGGTCGCTTTTCGCTCACAATGCTAGTGTTGAGCAACCCCTCAGCTTTGGCACAAAGAAAGAAGCTCATTTGCTTTCTCTCGCATCTCCCTTTCTAACAAGTTGTGACTCTCGACCAACCGGGAACGCTTTGTAAAGTTTTCGGATGCAATAAATATTTACCCAAAGGTCTGCCTCTGTGACTTTATAAGCAAGGTTAGATACCAAAATCTTTCCTTCAGGTGCGGAGCCGACGTTGGATGTTGCTACGGATGGTACCCCATAAGGTCGAGATCCAGCTTGGAGTGGCCGCGAGTTCCTGATCGGTCCACCGGAACGTTTGACAATGCCACTAGCTCGAGTGGGTCTACCTCTAATACCTCTTGATGGTCTCTTCTTGGAGATGATTTCATCCAGAGACATGTCAAGACCGGCAGACATTTTCTTTTCTTTTATTTGACTTGGTTTGTTTGAAAGTCGTTTAAGATTTATTAATGTCAAAGATAATACGTTGCTTCTCAAAGAGTGTTACAGCGGGTTAAAGTAGAAGCGCTTTGTAGATTAAAGATTTACGGAGACAGAATAAAAGCGGAAGAGTGGTTTTTTTGCAAGCTCAGGGCGAGTTTATCTTTGTAATCCTCCGGAGTTTGATCAGCCAATTAAAATCATTGAGTTAAATGTGCGTATTGGTTGGCACATTCTGAAATGGCAAACAAACTTTCGACTACGACTATATAGATTTGTGTGTGCGATGGACATGGCAATCGACGACTTTGGCGCAAACAGAAACCGACGAAACAGAAGAATACCACCTATCCGCCGCATCGGACGTAATAACTTACAGTCTGGCGGTGCCAAAAGAACCGGGCGTGTCAGATCGACACCTTATGATCGTTCGGTAAGTTGTCGCAAACTGCGATCTTTTAAACGCAGACATATTTTACTAGAGACTTAAGTGATTTATTGCTTGTTTTGCTACAGAGCCTACTCACGCATATATGACTGATATAGTGCTAAACTTTTTTTTGCTAGAGACCTCCGAGAGGAGACATAAACGGACAGTGGTCGCACGACCTTTTCGAAGATGGAGCTGAAAACTCACGTCGTTCTAGTGCAATTAGCAAGCGTCTTACCCTTAATCAAAATGGAAATCCCAGGTTGATTGTAGAAAATCTATTTTACGAAGTTACGCAAGACGACCTTCAGGTAATAAAAAGGGAGAAGACTAATTGCTTGGCAGAGCTTGCCCAATTTGCAAACTATTAAAATCTTATAATGTTTAAACAGGAATTATTCTCTGAATACGGGTCTATCAAGAAAATCTATTTGCATTATGATCGTGCCGGTCGAAGTACGGGTGTGGCTGACGTTACTTTTGAAAATTCGGGGGATGCAGCAACGGCGTTAAATAAATTGGATGGAGTAGAACTTGATGGTAATTAAAACACTGTTTTAGTTTGTCTCTTTTTTTCTTTGTAAATTGTCAGTATTAGGAATAAGTTATGCGTCTATGATCTAACAATAACCCAATCTAGGTCAAAAGATGCATATTAAGTTTGCACCATTGAAGCCGGGACTGAAAGTTTCTAACGGACGATCATCCAATAGTTCGAGTTGGAATGCATCTGTATTTGACCGGTTAGGAGATTCCCGCGGCTCCTCAATGTACGCGCGCTTTTAGAGATATCCTCCCCCCATATATTTACACTTACCGTAAATAGTGATTTAATCTGCTATATACATATACTTTATGGTTTCTTCTACTTTTTCTTTTATAATATGTTGTGTCGGCATTGTCTGTTATTCTTTACAGAAAGCAAGACTCGTCCAATATTCACTCAAGAATCGGCCGTACAAAGACTGATTCTAACTCGGCATCAAATTCAGGGAGTAGGTTGAGTGGGCGACTGCGCGAGCGAGCTCATGATACGTCTGGTCAAGATAATGATAGACGAAAGGTATCATCCCAACGAAAGGTTATTACGTACGATGAGTTGGACGCAGATTTAGATGCATATATGGCTATTGATGTAAGTATAATAATAACGTAATTTCAGACGTCTTACTGTGTCTTATGGACTATCGACTAATTCTTCTCTGCACTGCATATTTACAGTAAACCTTTTCTGAAATAAATATACATATTTGAAATATTCAACCCGGGTTCTTTTAAGATCTATTCGACATAATTTTATTAGTCTTTTAACTCAAATAAAAAATTACTAAACCTGTATCTCTCCAAAATTAGCAACTTTTTTAATCAGAGTCACCATCGGCTAACATGCGTCAAATTCACTGTTCTATACTCCTGTGCGCACAATATGACGCCATTATGAAAGATTTAACTGCTTCCATGGGACTCCAGAAAGGTTTGCGGCGATAACTGTGTGTATAATTTCGAAAAATCCGTTGACGAAAGTATTTCACCCCAACCCTTAGGCGTAGTTTCACCAGCACACAGTTCTGTGACTTAATTATGCTGTATCATCTATCGCGGGAACATGGTTGCGGTGACCGAATCGTAGTTTTCCTATGCCCGAATCAGCAGGACATCAACGTTGATGGGGCAGTAATAGATTTGAAGAGCCCGTCAAAACGGTGAGGCATAGCAATCGAAATCAGAGTCTCAAGGTTACCGCCCATCAAGTTACAACTGAACAAAGGATGTTACGCTTCACTATACGGTTGATGATTGCAATGTTGTTACAGATCATAGAGGCGAGGCTCCTTGGTACTATGTTCAGCAACGTGGTTTCTTTGTATCGGCTCACTAGACGCTGAACCTTCCAAATTGCATCTAGCTAGCCAAGAGATTCTTTGTTACACAACTGATATACGACTGCTCGAATATCAACACTGCAGCAACAGTCGTCTAAATAACCTAATGCTGTCAATGAGAGTCATGAGTATGGCATAGTCGTTGACAACAATGTCTTCACATTGTTAGCATCGAGTCATTTACTGGTCAGCTGATCGCTTATATAACGTCATTTCTTTGCTCCTACCATTTCGTTGTCCCTCAAAAAGTACCAATAGGCGTTGAAGATCAATGATGTCCTATCTAAAGTCCATCATATGAAGGACAGTCAGGTTTTATGGGGGGTGAAATGTGACGATCTATCTGTTATTATCGCCATTTGGTGGTGTTCGCAGTTCGCGATTGGGAATTTGGGACTCCGCCAGAAAGAAAGTGACAATTTCGTAATGGCCACTGCTGCGCTGCATGCATCTTATTTACATATGCATTCCAATGACAATGATGAATGAAAGAAGATTGGTTACAAAACCTTTCTTAAATTAGTAATATTTGAAAGCAAAGCATAATAAAGGAATTTGTTAAATGGGACATGCTGCGGTGAAGCATGTAGCCACAAACAATAAGTTCTACCGCATACTTCGTTTGTCAGTTTGTATTGGTTGTTTAATTACGTGACTCTTATTAAAAGAATTGAGAGATGCTGCATCTATCTCCCATACTGGATCAGATTATTTCCTGAACTCATTTACAGTATTTGAACCAAATTATCTAAATAAATTGTGATGCGAGCGTATGGTTTTGAATAGAACGGGGCATTAGATTTGTTGATAATATTACTCTATCAATTGACATGCTTTCGGAAAACGGGATTCCGAACGTTGGCGTCTTTTTACTAGTACTAATGGAACTGGCTGCGTTTGTCTTTGAAACACAACCTTGTTTATTACCATAGAAGACAACGCGCCAGGGTATTTTTGTTTTAGGCGAACTTCGTGCCCTATACATTTTATCATTTAAATGTAATGCCAACTCCTCGGAATCTGGTCTTCCACTACCTCTCTGTATGCGTGTTAAGTATTCTGCCAACAGCCAAATCACGTCAGTAATTTTGGAGAATCGTACTCAATCAGAATAGTTGTGTAAATATCCACTTGTCCAAATGTGCGCATAACTGGCGCAAAAGTAATTGACCATACCTAATTGGGGATATTGACCACTTATATAATTTTAGCAAGTATAACAAAGATTTTCTTTAATTCGACTACATACACTCAAAGGCCACGCAACAGGGGATTTGCAAAACAAGGATTTTATTTGAAGTTAACTTCGAGTTTTGATATCTTTCATGTACTTCGATTGAGCTGAAATTTTACAGATTATCAGTGATATACGCTTTTCAGACCGTTTTATCGTTCCCTATCCCAAAGGACCACACAAAACTTTTCAGTAATCCCACGTATTTTACAGTGTAAGTGCTATCATCGTCGATAACAGCTTCGTCAATGTAAATGTCTCCTTTGTAACATTTTTTATTTTATGAAAATGAATTGGGCGAGAAATGTTTTGCAAATGTCGCTAGTTTTTGTGTGTTTTTTTTTGTAATTCATTAGTTTGGTCAATTTGGTTATGATTATTCTTCTAATAAAGACGTCGCTTATTTTGGTTTAGATGAATTAAAAACACTTATTACGAGCTGTAGAATTTCTTTTCTTAAAAAAAACCCCCCCAGTCGCATGGTCCGATAAAAAATTTTTCAATGACATTGTTTAAGCAGTCATTAAAGATGAGTTAATATTAACATATTAATATGGTTTTAATTTGTTCTCATAAAACTGTTGCCTGCCAAAAAGATATGCAACGGCGAAAAACGAATAAATAATAATCATACGGTTAATAAAGTAATGTTACAGCGAGCTGCTCGATCAGCAAGTCGCATGGTAAAATATTCCTCTGCAGCTGAACAATGCATAACATGTCAAAAGAAAAGTATTATAAAGTCGTTCAGGATTGGTGACAAAAGTTGAGACATTGTACAAAGCAAATTGTTTGAAATTATCATGTGCATTTTCACACCCTATGCATAATTATTACTATTACTAAACTAAAATGTTATTCTAAACAAACACTATTCAAGTAATGTCTTCAGGATATAAAAAGTGATTAAATGCAGGAAAAGTATCAAAGTTTTCATGTCATTTTAAAGATGTTCCATACAAGTTTTATAATGCAATTTTATCAAAAATTTCTCCCAGAATTAAACGAGAAAAGGTTAATTTTTGTGGCAATAGTAACAGTAGATACAAATTGAATTATTCTGTTACTGGGAACATATTCAAGTATTAGTATTAAAATAACATAAAAAAAAGATAAAATTTAAGAGTTTTTGATAGCAACAGTGCCATCAATTAGACAAATAAAAAAAGTCAAACTTAAAACTGTTAAGCAACTGGCATCTCAATCATCTAATTTATTAAAATTTTGGCATAAATACAATATTTATGTCGAAATGATGCTAATTGAAATAGAAATAGCTTATACTAGCTAACAATAATAATGAATATAATCGATACAATAAATTAATATTAACTGCAAACTGTAAGCAATTTTTACCTTATAATATATAAAATTTCATTCTAATTTGCTTTCTTTTTGGCTGGATAAATTTGAGCCAACTCCTGGATTTTTTTCTTTAACTTGGATCTATCATTGTATTTAAAAAAATAAACCTTATTTGTTGCCTTAGCATACCCTTGCTCAGAGCTTTCTCATATAATTCAATAGCTTTCTGTTCATCTTGTTTTACTCCAATCCCTTCCTCATAACACCAACCAAGATTATATTGTCCATATATACATGTTTTTTTTCAGCTGCTTTTTCAAACAATTTAATAGCTTTTTGAATATCTCTTTCTACCCCAATTCCATTCTTGTAACATAGACCAAGACTGACATATGCAGAAACATTTCCTTGCTTGACTGCTTCCTGATACAGTTCTACTGCTTTTTGAACATTTTTATCCACACCAAATCCTTTTTCATAACACCAACCAAGATTATGCTTTGCATTAGAGTTTTCTTGCTTAGCTGCTTTTTGATACAATTCAAAAGCTTTTTTATAATCTGGTTCTATGCTAATACTTTTTCTATATAAATAACCAAGCTCAAACTGTGCATCAGCATCATTTTGTTCAGATGCTTTTTGATACCATTCAAATGCATTTTGTTCATCTTTTCTCACTCCAGTTCCAATGCTATAACACAAACCAAAATTATATTTTGCATACAAATTTCCCTGTTCAGCAGCTTTATGCTACCATTCAATGCCTTTTGATCATCTTTTCCCACTCCAGTTCCATTCCCATAACACAGACCAAGACTATTTTGTGCACTAGCATTTCCTTGTTCAGCAGCTTTTTGACACCATTCAACTGCTTTTTGTTCATCTTTTTCCACTCCAGTTTCTTTTGCATAACACACACCAAGATTATGTTGTGCTTCAGCATCACCTTGTTCAGCAGCTTTTTGATACCATTCCATTGCCTTTTGTTCATCTTTTTCTACTCCAGTTCCACTCACATAACAATAACCAAGAGTAAATTGTGCATGAGCATCACCTTGTTCAGCAGCAGCTTTATATATTAATATTTTGAAACAAATCTCTTTTAGAATCTTTTTTGCTATCTCAAAGATGGTAGAAAGCCATGTTTGTTATACCCTCTTCCCAGAAACTGTACTGTATATTAATATTTAATAATAAATCAAGCGATCAATAGATGCTTGCACACAATGTCATTTTGTGCGACCAACTCAGTCAGTAGTACATTGACGCCATCATTGATAAAGTAGTGCGCAAAATATCGTCTTAATATAACCGTGTCTTCTACCTTTAACATTCCTTAACTTTAAGAAAATAGGAACAAACCAGACAGGCAAAAGTTAACTTTTATCATGTGAATAAAAAATGAACTGGTTTCATGTAGTCAATTAGTGTCGGTAATCTCTCGCCGTTATTTTATTTATCATCTTTTTTTTTCGTTATGCATAATAAAATGATAACAAGTAATACTGGGTTAGCATTTAACGGGTAAACAATAGTAATAGCGTAATAATAGTTCGAGAATGCTTCATGTATATAAACCATTTTAATTTATTGTCTGGCTACGCACTGGGTAATGAATTTATACAGTTTTTTTTTAATGCAAAGCATGTTAATGTGAATAGAGATTCTTATAGTAGAAACTCACGGTGACAATAAGGCGACGTAAAAGAACGGTGATTCTCGCTATAAATCTAAATACTGTATGTAATCGAGTCAATATTAATATGTAACAATAACTCTTTGACGGTGGTTACGAAATTGTAGTCTATGCTTTCGAAAGGTCAATGAAATTTTCACATTCGCAATAAGTCATTATTCAACGAGTTATAATGTCAAATTGCATGTCTACTGCTAGCCAAATACAATCGTCTCCATGTATATGACGTAAACGAACAATGCAGATCAGAAAGAGATTAATCATAATCATTAACGACCCCTTAACACATGTATTGCAGGTACTCCTGGCTTTGTTTGTTTGTTATAACTGCCACATATCAATATATATTAATATGGTCGTCTCTATTATTATACTAGACTGCATCCTCGTTACGAATAATTAATAGTCAGATCAACGGTTTATAAATGAAGAGTAATTATAATTCCACTTCCTTAAATTAACCTAATTGCTATTTAAGTTGCCGTATGACTTGGGAAGAAATGCAAATAAGGAAATGAAACACAGTAGTTATCATGGTCAATCGATTGGATCATGCATGTACATGTTTATTGCGTTTATTATTATTATTATAATCGAAAATAACAGATGAGGTCATTCATAGCTCACAGCTGGATCAACATGCCCATTTAGACCACAGATATCACGGATACAAGTATGACCTTGAACGTCCGTTGGTACCATTGGTACGTCTGGCACGATATAAGAACATTCTTGATGGATGGCGTTCTCTTCACTATCGCTACCATCGGGTTCTCCATCTCGAGAGTTTCTCTGGTCGACTGAAGAATTTTTGCTTCTCCTTTTGGGTGTAAATTTATAATCCGGATTATTTTCTTTATGGTGAAGTAATCCATAATAAGCGATAATCTCGTACAACATCTTTAATCCAAAGTGCTCGTCCCAGACTACACGTGCCAACTTGTTGTAGTCTACCCCGCTTAACTTTGACCTTTTCCCATTGTTGTCGCCCCGCGTATTGTTGCCGGGTCTCTCCTTTTTGCGCTTCTTGGTAGAGGCCACTGCCACGTTAGCTTCGAATGGCTCAGATTCGTGGCTTACAATGGAGGGCATGGACTCTTCGACAGTTTTGTAGTCGCGAGTTTCTTCCATTTTGATTCCAACAAAGGTTTTGGATTCCTCTTCGCAGATGACACCTTCGAGCTCGAGAAACGCTTTCGCATTTTCATACATTTGCTGTAAGGTTTCGTCGTTAAGGTCGAAAAGGATGTCGAGATTACTAGGATCGTCTGTATTAACTTCGACTAAAAAGGGCGCATGCCGTCAGTTATTTGTTTGGAGAAGCGTGGGGAAGCGTGGGGAGAGACGTTCATAGTGTATATTGACGCTAGCTCAGTTACATACTCACCCTTTTGCTCCTCTTTTTCCTGGGCCAATCTTTCTTGTTTTTGTCGTTCTTGCTCTTCTTTCTCTTCTTTCTCTTTCTTTTTTTTACCAGCGATAAAATTACGAACAAAGATTGTGTAGGGATTCTGTGGTCTTGGAGGACCCGCCTCCTTACGTTGTCTTTTTGCTGGTCCTAGCAACTCCCCCTTCTCAAATCCAAGACGAAGATGAAGTTTATGGTGTGTGGCTTCTATGATTTTATGAATGGTGTGATAGACCTCATCTTTATCATTAAATATTAATGACCAATCTACTTTGTGGGGTACATCACTCATAGCGTTTGCTAAGGGACAATGGAGAAAGGTAAAAGGTATATTCGTCTGATCATTGTCTCTATTTATCTTTGAACGCTCTTTCAAATTATACCATTAAAAGGTCTGTATTCAAAGGGTAAAAGTAGGGTTAATTGTGAATGGGCGATGACACTACCGGGTACAGTCAGTCACAAATGACCCTTTCTAAGTTGCCCTTTTTGTGTACTGCGGCATTTGTCAGTGTTTTTCGAAGGTCATCTTACAAATTCCTGGTATTAGACGAGATGCAGGATCATTCCTTGTGAAATTGTCATGTTATCCTACACTATCCTAATGACCTTCTCTGCAGACCTTCACAGACTATTATGCTTCCATCATAGACTTCCATTATTTTCTGTATCACATGTACGCACTATATGCATTGTGACATGGTTTGGTTCTGGTCTGCGACTTTGACAAATAAAGTTGGATCGAGATACATATGATGAATCTTATTTCACTTATAAAACTGCAGATTTCACACTGCAAATTCTCCCACTTTGCTTGTGGTCGTCATGTCCTATGAACGAGAACCATTATTAAGTGCTGATCCAACAACCCACGACCTTTATAACACAGTCGAAAGAGATATAATAAGAGGACGCCAGTATGGATGGTGTGAACGCTTTCGACGATCCAAAACGGCAGTTGTGTTGATTGCAGCTATGGCTTTATTTACGTATGTATCATGCGCGGCATGGCAATACCATGTTTATTATGTTATAATCTGACTGGGAAAAAAATCAAAAAAAAAAAAAACCGATTTTAGCGATATGGTTGTCTATGGAATAGTCGTACCGATATTGCCTTTGATTGTCAAAGAAAGACTTGAGCTTGATTCACAGGCAGTCGGATTCCTGTTTGGTTGTTATGGTAAATATGCTTTGTTAGTAACATAATAGATAATTCCCACGGCTAGAAAGTGTTTCACCAAATTATCGGATTATCGGATTGCATGTTATTTTTGTGTTATACGTATGCGAAAATTCCTGTTTCTCGCTTACCATCGCTAAATGATATTAATCTCTTTAAGCACTTGGTCTATTGGGGGCTACACCTTTCTTTGCCATACTCAGTGACCGTTATCAGACTCGCAAGGTAGAGGGAAAGAATGATATCACCCAACATGTCACTAAATGCTAATCTTTTATTCTACGTTCAGTTGCCAATGTTACTGGGTATGGGTAGCCTTGCCATTTGCACGCTCTTTTTTGGAATTGCCAAGACATACTGGCAACTTGTTATCGCACGTATTGCTCAGGGTGCGGCTGGTGGAGCATCGTGGTAGGGTAAAAGAAACTGTTACCGTTTGAAAGACCCTCGAATGGTTGTATTCATAGCTCAAACTCACATTGCGTTTTTAACTCCCCCCCCCCCCCCCCTCTCCCCCCAACGAAACGTATAGGACAATAAGTCTTGCAATGCTTGCGGATAGATTCGGTCAAGGGGAAAAACTGGGAGTTGTCATGGGGACGGTATTATCGGCCAACACCATAGGTGCTATTACTGGACCGATCATAGGGGGTGCATTATACCAATACTGGGGATATGCATCTCCTTTCGTGTTCTGTGCGATTTTAGCCTTTTTTGATTTTCTATCCATATTAATGATTGTCGAACCACATGAGCTGCAAGAGGATAACTTACTCGATGACACTCGAATGAATACCGAAGAGAACGGGACCCCGGTTGGAAATCTTGCAATAAATAATGATCTATCACTTTGGAGCTTGGTTAGAAATTGGGACGTTAGCACTGTTTGCGTAGCTGTTCTGATGATTGCAAGTGTCTTTTCAGGTGTGTCTTGTATATCATAACCGTCACGTCCAACGCACGTCAATGCTACAACTGAAAAACGTCTAATCATATTCGTTCTATCACACACGACTTTTCCCCTCCCATTTCCCTCTTATTTCCTTAGGCATTGAACCCATTCTTCCGATATACCTCAAAGAGAGATTTAACAGCGACCCAACAACCATCGGCTTTATCTACATTTCGGTCATTATTCCCACAATAATTTCTCCTATCGTTGGATCGTTGTCACAGAAAGTAGGCCAGTGGCTATTGATCAATGCGGGAATGATCTTACTCGCAATAGCTGCTGCTCTAATAGCGTTACCGTTTGCTCTGGAATTGATCATAGTTTCATTAGTGTTATTTGGTGCTGCATATTCGGTAGCCAGTACACCGACGCTCCCGCTGTTGGGCGAATTCGTGGCCAAAAACGGAGGGGGCGCTTACGGGCAAGTGTACGCTCTCTGGAATATGGCTTACTCGGTAGGAATGTTGGCTGGTCCCGTAATTGGTGGAGTATTATTACAGTATTTTGGATTTTTTTGGGCTATGATGGGATTTGCCATAACACTCTTTGTTACTGCTTTATTCATAATGGGAGAGAGTTATGTTTTCCTTTTGTTTGCAAATGCAGATAGCGGCATTCTTTCTGATAGTCCGAGTGCTGTAGCACTGGTTCAAGACGATATCTTGATATCGAATATAGATTAATTTTCATAACCGTGTTCCCCGACCACATAATAAACATTGTCTCAAAAATCTAGAGTCTCGTCGTTACTGAAAATAATGGGATCTGACCAATGTGCATTGGCATTAAGACGTGCATATCACAGATTGACGTGGGTATTAATATATAATGCAAGCCTTTCTAGTTTCTGATAGCGGTGATCGTGCATTGGAAGATAGACCAGAATTGAATATACATAATAATGCGCCCTTGAAGTAAATTAATCTTAATATTAAAGAGATAACTGTAATAATAACAAATTAGCCATCAAGAGTTAATCTCTGGTTTAACCTATACATTATGATTTCAGGCTTTAGAAGCCTGTTATTTGTCACACCACATAAGTACTTTCATCCGTTTTTTCAAATAGCGGTACAATCTCCATGCTTTTTTATATGCAATTTTTTTTTCTATAATTTCTTTTTGCCACGAATAAACCATCAACTAGTTTGTTTTCTGGACTATTTTTTAGTTGCGATGCCGCCTAATATTGATAAGAAAGGTTCAACCAGTGTTCAATGTTCAGCGACAGAGTAAATTCTTTATCGTTAGCTACGCGGCTGCCACGAGCATTTCAAACTATTTCTTCCCGCTGTTTCGGCGTTCATTTTCCCCATTAATTGTTGGGACCTTAATTCAGCCAAAGTCTTTTCCATGGCGCCATAAGCAACAGAAGATAAATTATAGGATATAAAAATTTAAAACACGATATAGTATAAAACCACCTAGACCGAAGAACCTAGACGGATCGGGTCGCGCGCGAATAAAATAGGTTAGCTCAGATGGAACAGGTTAAAAATAAAACAAATTATATAAAAAACGGTAATATCGGCAGTAAAGCTAAATATTATTGTTAACATCAATTAATTTGGTCTAATTCTCGATGCCATAAAGGTGATATAAATTCCCTATCCAAGAGTTCCGAAAACCAAAAATGCTTCTTTCATTTACAAACAGCGATTCAGACTCATTAATACCGAAGTGGGAACGAGTTTCACTGTCGTTAGTTCTTCCAGACAACGTCTTCGACTAGACAAGCATTGTTCCGGATAAAGTAACTACGTCCAAACCAAACCAATTGTTATGAAGAAAAAAAAGAATGTAGTATTAGATCAACTGCTTCGAGAAAGTAGACAATTAGTACAGTAGCATTGGATGATATGATATAATTGTGTAAGCATTATTTTATTATAACTTGACATTATTTGTACCACGAATCTGAGCGTTGGGCCTAACCTGAGGATTCTTCTCAGCATCGCTTCAGTGCGGTTCTTGTGTGACTAGCGCTATAAACCCCGTAATAGCCTTCTATGTTATAATTTACAACGATCATGACGGTCTAGACGAAATATTCCCCGAACCCGACCATTCCTTCTAAGGAGTGAGAGAAGCATACTCTACGACTTAGCTATAATACTTTTCACCTGGCAGTCGAGCGGTAATGTCATTATAACAGTAATTCAACGACGAATCCACTATTATAAGTTAAACGACGAATCCATTAGTATTAGTAATTAATATTACTAATCATCATCGGAGTTAAACTCCGGTTCAGTGAATCGGACAGCAAACCGATTATGAACACTCTTTAATGAGGGAATTCAACTTGTCGAATACTCAATAGAATATTCCCGTTATACAACATGATTTATTCATCCCTAAGCAGGATGTTATCCATTTTCAGTTGATAGTAACGACGATAATGTATATAGCAATGATATTACCCATTGATGTGTTAAGTAAATAATACGCTCGAACAACGGAACGATTAATTACAATTTATTCAAATACAATACGATGTTAACAACACCGGAACCATAGCCTTTTACCATGTTGGTTAAAATGTTATTAAACGTTTGCTTTGAGGAATAGATCACCAAAAATGAGTGGTTGAGGAACACATAGTAAAACTACTACGTTATCGAGCCGACGGAAAGACTCAACGCAACATCATTAACTCTCATTCATAACCGAACGTAATAGCAAAAACATTTTAATTGCCAACATAAACTTCAATCGGTTTAATAATCCTCAACCTTTCGGGAGATTCTTAGAATTCCTAACATTCCAACCTTTCACCATAAACAATCAGTTATAAATCATCGAATTAGTCGCAAATACAATAATCGCTTTCACCACATTAATGTCGATCGTCAAATTCAGGGTCGATATGCAGGGTCGATCATGTTGAATAAATAAAGTCGGTTGGAGCTCATTTGTCGAATATGAATTTATTTTTAGAACGGGAGTTAGAAATCATTTATTATTTTCAAGTCATCAAAACTGAAAGCACTAATCACTCAATGTATTAAATGCCAAGTAATCAACGCAAGCATTAGACGTTCAACTCATTAAGTGCTAAACATTAGACGCCAAAAGCCCGAAATATTAATCAGATGCTATTAGCATTAGACGTTCAAAGCATTATATGCCAAACATCAGATGCCCCAGCATTTTGATGCTAAGTATCTATTGCTCAAGGCTATTCAGCCGAGTAAGATACAGAAGCCTGCTGAACAGCAGTTATAAAAGTCCAAGAAATAAATTAACGTTGTGTTCTTTTAAATGATCGTCACATCGTACTACTCTATCTCAAGTATGATCACCTGATCAAATCGCTCTTTACTAATCTAATCCTAATACTAACGCTTCCGTAATAGTAACCATTTATTTATAAATATAAACAGCAAACAGAATGACTTCTACCATCTTTGAACCGTTGCGACATAAATTTTCTTTCGCAATATGTGAAATAGCAGCTGAACAAGGTGATGCTACTGCACAATATAATCTGGGTGTATGTCATAATAATGGGATTGGAGTAGAAAAAGACGATCAAAAGGCAGCTGAATGGTATCAAAAAGCAGCTGAACAAGGTGATGCTAGTGCACAATATAATCTTGGTGTGTGTTATACTAATGGAATTGGAGTAGAAAAAGATGAACAAAAGGCAGTTGAATGGTATCAAAAAGCAGCTGAGCAAGGAAATGCTAGTGCACAAAATAGTCTTGGTTGGTGTTATGAGAGTGGAACTGGAGCAGAAAAAGACAAACAAAAGGCATTTGAATGGTACCAAAATGCAACTGAACAAGGATATGCTGATGCACAAAATAGTCTTGGTTTGTGTTATTATTATGGGAATGGAACTGGAGTGGGAAAAGATGAGGAAATGGCAGTTGAATGGTATCAAAAAGCTGCTGAACAAGGGCTTGCTAGTGCACAATTTAATTTTGGTGTATGTTATGAAAATGGAACTGGAATAGGAAAAGATGAACAAAAGGCAATTGAATGGTATCAAAAAGCTGCTGAACAAGGGCTTGCTAGTGCACAATTTAATCTTGGTGTATGTTATGAAAATGGAACTGGAGTGGGAAAAGATGAACAAAAGGCAGTTGAATGGTATCAAAAAGCTGCTGAACAAGGATATGCACAAGCACAATATAATCTTGGTTTGTGTTATGAGAATGGAACTGGAATAGAAAAAGATGAAGAAAAGGCAGTCAGATGGTATCAAAAAGCTGCTGAACAAGGTGATGCTCAAGCACAATATAATCTTGGTTGGTGCTATGAGAGTGGAACTGGGGTAGAAAAAGATGAACAAATGGCAGTTGTATGGTATCAAAAAGCTGCTGAACAAGGATATGCTGATGCACAAAATAGTCTTGGTTTGTGTTATGAAGATGGAACTGGAATAGAAAAAGATGAAGAAAAGGCACTTGAGTGGCATCAAAAAGCAGCTGAACAAGGTGATGCTGGTGCACAAAATAACCTTGGTGTATGTTATGAAAATGGAACTGGAGTGGAAAAGGATGAACAAATGGCAGTTGAATGGTATCAAAAAGCAGCTGAACAAAGATATGTACAAGCACAATATAATCTTGGTTTGTGTTATGAGAATGGAACTGGAATAGAAAAAGATGAAGAAAAGGCAGTTGAGTGGTATCAAAAAGCAGCTGAACAAGGTGATGCTGGTGCACAAAATAACCTTGGTGTATGTTATGAAAATAGAACTGGGGTAGAAAAAAATGAACAAAGGGCAGTTGAATTGTATCAAAAAGCAACTGCACAAAGTGATGCTAATGCACAGTTGAATCTTGGTTTGTGTTATGAACATGGAACTGGAGTGGAAAAAAATGAACAAAAAGCAGTTGAATTGTATCAAAAAGCTGCTGAACAAGGAAATGCTTGGGCACAATATAATCTTGGTGTGTGCTACAGATATGGAACTGGGATAGAAAAAGATGAACAAAAGGCAGTTGAATGGTATCAAAAAGCAGCTGAACAAGATGATGCTAGTGCACAATATAATCTTGGTTGGTGTTATGAGAGTGGAACTGGAGTGGGAAAAGATGATCAAAATAAAAAGGCAGTTGAATGGTATCAAAAGGCAACTGAACAAGGACATGCTGAAGCACAATGTAATCTTGGTGTGTGTTATCAGTTTGGAACTGGAGTAGAAAAAGATGAACAGAAGGCAGTTGAGTGGTATCAAAAAGCTGCTGAACAAGGTAATGCTGGTGCACAATTTAATCTTGGTTTGTGTTATGAGGATGGAACTGGAGTAAAAAAAAATGAAGAAAAGGCATTTGAATGGTATCAAAAAGCTGCTGAACAAGGTGATGCTAGTGTACAAAATAACCTTGGTTATTTGTATAGAAAAAGTATTAGTATAAAGACAAATTATCAAAAAGCTGTTGAATTATATCAAAAAGCAGCTATGCAAGGGGATTCTTTTGCACAAGATAATCTTGGTTGGTGTTTTGAAAATGGAATTGGTGTTGATAAAAATGTTCTAAAAGCAGTTGAATTGTACCAGGAAGCAGTCAACCAAGGCAATGTTTATGCATATGTCAGTCTTAATCTATGTTACAAGAACGGAATTGGGGTAGAAAGAGATATTCAAAAAGCTTTTGAATTGTTTGAAAAAGCTGCTGAAAAAAAGCATCCATATGGACAATATAATCTTGGTTGGTGTTATGAGGAAGGGGTTGGAGTGAAACAAGATGAACAGAAAGCTATTGAATTATATGAAAAAGCTGCAGAGAAAGGGTATGTTAAGGCACAAAATAAGGTTTATTTTTTTAAATATAATGACAAGTCTATGTTAAAAAGAAAAATTCAAGAGTTGGCTGAAATTTATCCAGCCAAAAAGAGAGCAAATTAGAATAAAAAGTGTTTATAATTATTATAGGTTAAGGAATTGTTTTACATTAGGACTTTCATTCTTATTTATTATTCTGTATGACTTATAACTCATTCTTCTTTGAGGCAAATTAAAATGATAATATTGAACGTGTCATGGTTTTATATATATAGTAATAGGTTGTTTAAAGTAATGTTGACAATTCATGCTGGCAATAAATATGAGTGTTGATGCATTTGAAGAATTGAGTCATTACTATTACTATTACTTATATACTATTACTTGTGTCAAATTTATAATTTAGTGAAGTTTGAATAATAAAATAGCTCAAATAAGTCACATGATAAAATCATCTTCAATGCATCAGTAAAATTGTAAAGACCTGGGTATTATGCAAATTGTATGAAAACTAAATAAAGAACAATCTTCTTATGATTACTGAATTACTGTCAAGGTATCACTGTGAAGTCTCAGGGAGTTGATTACTTGAACTCGAGATTAAATCGGGAAATACTTTTCTAACTGCTATTGATGATTCATAAAACAGTACATCTTAATATTAAGGAATCAACGTGTATCCGAACCGGCACAAGAATTATTTTTTTTTGATGGTACAGGATTGCAAGAGAAGCGAGACATGCTGTTAAGAAATTGTGCACACGTCCGGGCAAACGGGCACTTGACAATAATTCTTCATTGTAGCCGATACCTGTAATTATTTTCTAATTCGATCCCATTGATATCATCCGGGAGGGAACGTCAGTTGATACAAGGATAAGGCCCGCCAATAAAGCGGGCGACTTGCTGTTGGAGATAATTAAGAGACATAGTATATTGTAGCAAACCACTGGACAAAATTGATTACTTCGACACGGGAGATTCTTGTGCCACTACTTTATTACCCTCAATTGAAAGACGCTCATCACCCAAATTTTTTATAAAGTTGAAAAAGACCGAGTTTTTGAATTTTGGATTTGTTTCTCCACTCACAGTGTCCATCAACATCCTGGCGGTTCTTGCAAGTTCAGAGTTAGCATTTCCAGAAGCAGATTCTTGTTCTTGGAATTCAGATGCCCATGATGATTCTTGCGTCTGAAATTCCGATTGCCAAACTGCACCTGAAATGAAGACAACATTAAGTGTTAACAAGAAAAAGTATTATTATAAGACAGCAATACCGTGTCAACATTAAGACGGCACTAATAACATATTCGTCAAACTAAGTTGTAAACGCAAGCCCATATTTCGTTCATTCTTACAATTTTCCGCTTCCTCAAACGCTCTTTCAAATGCCGCAGCCTCGTCGGGATCGATATTCGTGGGTTGTGGTGTAAACTGGGCAAAGTCCTCAGCCCAATTACCTATTTCGAAATGAAATTGGTTAAACATATCTAATCAAACTCATACTAGTGGTGTTCAACAAAGACAAAATATCCACATGTATGCGACTGATTTGGAGAAGGACAGAAATATTATGATCTGGTACCGATGCTTTCGAAATTCCGATCTTAGAGCCTTTGGAATGTAATAAAATGTTGTGGAAGGCACAAGCCGAAGAATCTTTGGATCAGCTTACGATCCAGAGATAAAATCAGGCCCAAAAATGCTGTCACAGTATTTAACAGATTCTGTGCGAGTCGACGTGGATTACAGATCAGCCTTTTTAGATAGGAGCAATGTGTGATGAGTTAGAGCATTATATCTTTTTTGCACTTTTTTGTCTTTTTGAACACCACCGTATCTTCAACAGGAAAATCAAAATAAAACGACTCATGCCTTGAGCATTCCTAAATGCGGTTTCAAAATCGTCATATATCGGATCATGAGCAGTTATATTAGGTTTTTCGTTTGGTCGACCCAGGAATTCGGATATCCAGGCGGCATTGGAGCCTTCCTGTATCGGTTGATATATTGTCGACAGTTCTTTGTTCATGTGATTAAATTGAAAAGCGTTTTCTTGTGGTGGAGGTTGGTGGGTTGCGTCGAGAAAAAAGTCGTTTGCAAGCTTTTGGGAGATTGTGAGTAAGTGAACGAGATAGGTTATAAAAATCTCACCAAAAATCTTGCACAAGATATTAAACTCACCTCATGATCCGTTACTGATGCTTGGTGAAAGTGTGCACGAAATGCCTATGATAAATGCGTTAACAATATTGATCTACCTCCCAAGTTTCCACGTCAGTAAGGTCGGATCAGGCTTACCGAATTCGACGATCCCTCTCCCACGGCTTCTCTCCTGACTAGATCCTATTATTCCAGCAAAACGGTTAGAATACAGTTTTGCCCGATTGCGCAAGCCCTTGCTAGTATAAGAGGATCTAACCTGTGTTAGTGATTGGTCCTGATCAAACCGTTTCAACAATTCTGACGCAGGATTGGCAGGGCCGCAGTCGGCATCGCCAGACACTAGTTGCCGAAGTGACATGAGTTATTATTATATGTCGAGTTGGGGTTAAGGTTGCGATCGTGTAGACAGGGGAAGGCAGAAAATTCTGTCGAAATTCACGTGACACGATATATCAAATGACCGTTTCAAAGATGAGATGCCCATTATCGCACAGATGAGATAAGTTTAACTTCAAAGTTAATACATGGCACGAAACAGCGATAATTCCACCGCAGCAATTTACGAAGGAGTAAAATTGAGAAGGCAATATTACTTCGATTTCTCGGTTTCTGAGTTTTCCCTCAGCGAGTATATTATAACTAGAATGATGATTGTATGTCATAGTACTGTATGATAAAATAGCTATTATTTAATTATAGACTTTTAAAAATTGCGTCTAAAAAAATTACAGTCAAAGCTGGCTATAACGATAAAAGTTATAATCTTAGCTATAAAAGGTGACCTTCGTTATAAGGAATTTCTGGTTAACAGTTGTTGATATTGACATAACGATAATACAAACTAAAAGTAGGCAAGCTCTCCCAACTGCTGATAACAAGAATACTTTTTATTACAAATTTTGCAACAAACATAAATAAATGCATTGTGTTACAATTTCCGAATCTAAACTGGTTGGGCGCAGAAAATTGGACGCGTTTGGATTTCAAAGATTCCAGTTCTTCGTCTGATTCGTGCATACAATATTTTGTGCCGAGACCTGTGCTTTCGGACGTTGAAAACAATGGCAATTAATATAAATCCTGATCTGTTACTTATGATTATAATACCTAAATTAGTTTGTCTTACAAAAACATAGCATTGAAATGCATTAAACGTGTAAGGGGAAAAAAAACCAACGTCTTTCTCTCGGCAGTTGTAAAGAAAGTCGAAAAAATGGCTGAAATCTCTGTGGATTCCGTGTTTAGTGTAGCGGATGGAGTCTCCGCGATGGGTGAAATAGCAACGACTTCTGGTGTCGACGTGCTCAAGAAATTCGGCTCGGCTGTTCAGGTTGCGGGCGACGCTGTCAAACCTTTTCTCCCACTCATAGCAGTCGTCACGGTAACCATTACTGAAATCATAAGAATATATGATACAGCTCAGCATAACAAAAGAATGTGTGGAGCCATGCACGATCGAGTGATTATGGCGCAAGCTGCCATCAAGTTACTCGAACGTCGGCAGAAGGAGAACGAGGAAAGATTTAAGCAGCAGAATTATTATGAATCGTTTTTGAAGTTTGTAGCTTTGCTCAAGAAAATCAGGGATTTTCTTCAAGACGTGAGCCAGCTTAAGGGATTTAAGAAGTTTAAAGAAGCTAGTGCTGTAGAGTCCATGTTCAATAAACTTTCGGCAGAATTTGATTCTACCATGAACATGCTGCATTTTGCAGTCGCTATTTCGACCGAAGATCAACAACAATTGGACAGAGAGGCTGTTACAAAAGATTTGGAAGATATAAAAGATGTAAGTGCAATGAATGTGTAGATATGCCTGTTTATATGGCATTTTTATATCCGATCCTTTTATCAGTTTGCAATCCTTGTTAGACATTTCTATTACGCTGACATTATTACTGCTCAACGCAAAGCTAATGGTTTTTTCTTTCTATTTTTTGACAGTATCTAAACAATATCGAAGGTGGTATCACTACCATGGATCATAAAATTAGCTCGGTGCTCGAGGAGATATCCATCATTAAGGACAAAGTAGCTGCCAATACATCAGCAGACAAATTGAGTCGTACTTATGAAATACCACCCGAAGAGTTACATGATCCAGTCGATCGTCGTCCTAACGATGCTCGCGACAAAGATATTACAAGGAAATCCTACAGGTTCCAAGACGTCGCCGTAAAGAAATTTGCCTTACCCGATAAGAAGACGGATGATGGATTGAAGGTTGCCAAGGAGCTTACAATCTTAAAGTCTTTGCAAGAGGGACAACGAATTATAAAATTCTACGGAACTTCAGTCGTCGACGGTGCTCGTGTAATGGTATTTGAGTGGGCAGAAAAAGGATCTTTAAAAGATTACTACGAAGCCACGAAACCTGAAGACTTTCCGTGGGAGTTGAAATTGAAATTGGCTCTAGACGTTTGTCGTGGTATTGCTTTTCTTCACGAGACCAAGTACTTGCACCATGATATTCGCTGCCAGAACGTGTTGGTTAGTATTTTTTTCGGATATTATATTACTTGGACTAGCAAGATGTGTTATCATTATTGCCAACATCATTATCGCGACTGAATCCTATCCCTAACCAATATTATTTGATTTAGTTGACAGACGATTTTGTAGCAAAACTTGCAAATTTTAAGCTTAGCCGAGGATTCAATGATAAATCAACTGCGATAAAGATATTTGATCATCTTCCCTGGTTAGCTCCTGAGAAACTAAGGGTATTAGGCAAGGAAGATAAAGAAAGAGTACCGTATACTCAGAAATGTGAAATCTATAGTTATGGCCTGCTCCTTTGGGAACTTGGACACCAGAAAATACCATTCAAGGGAATGAGCCCGAGCCAAATTGAAGCACATGTCTTGGCTGACAAGCGAGAGTCATTCTATTGGGAGCTCGGTCCATTCCAACAGGGATACACCAAGATAGTTCGTGATGGTTAGCTTCGCGTCGATTTCGAGTTTGTAATAATCAATTAAATTTATGAAAAACTAACATATTTTTTATAAATTATCTGTTAGCCTGGCAAGGAGAGCCGCGCCTGCGTCCAACTATTTCCGAATTATTTTTGGAACTCAACAAACTTCAGCAGACATTCTTCCCAACGACGCGTACTCCAAATTTCAAACCGGCCACTCCACCGGCTACGGAAATTTCTGCATTAACCCTAGACTCGCCAGCCCTTGGTGACACTTACAGAAATGCGGAAGATCATAGAAAATCTGTCTCGTTAAACCTGCCTAGTGCTGATTTACCACCTGAATTCGAATTCGAATTGTTCGTTCCTGTCGAGGAAATTATTCCTCTGGACGAAGGTATCACGGCGCATAGAGAAGGTAATAAAGAGAAAGCTTGGAAATGTTTCGAGGCTCACGCCAAATTAGACAATCCCCAGGCTATATATTGGAAAGGATACTACTTATGGGAAGGATACGTTGTTGCAAAGAATAGAAAAGAAGCAGCTCAACTGTTCAAACAGGCCGCTGATGATGGTATTGCCGATGCCCAGTTACGATATGCATTCTGCATGGTCAACAGCGAAGGAATCAAGTTTGATAAAGAACAGTTCATGCATTATTTAATCCTTTCCGCTGACAATGGAAATCCGTCAGCACGTTACAACCTGGCAGACGTTTATTTGAACGGAAAATTGGGTATTCCAAAGAATGAGCGAGAAGGTGTGAGGTATTTGAGACTTGCAGCTCTCAAGGATCAGCCGAAAGCACGGGAGATGTTAAAGGCTTTGAAGGCAAAGGGTGTAGATGTTGGGGATCTTGATGACCTTTGACATGCCAAACTGGTATGCATATATTTATTTGTTTATTTATAGCATTGTATATATATGTTACTATTACGGATCGTCAAATAAATAATGATTTAGACTTTTGGGGGTAATAACATATTTATTATAAAGTGGTTACATATATCATGTCAAAAGTGTATGTACTCGACACGCTACTCTTGGAAAGTATCCAGTCAAGCTTTCACTAAATTTGATGTTTGACCATGAGTTGACAAATTGTTGGCTTACGATTCTGAAAGACTCGCTAAAATATGAATAACAATTTAAAATGACTTCGCGTTTAGCCTTCCCAGTCTTTAAGAATCCAAGTGCATCAAAAAACTGATCTGCAAACTTATCAAACTTGTGCAAGCATATCATGCTTGCTCAATTAAAATAAATGAATTCTTGTCAGACATTTGTAATATTCAAATGTCGCAAATATATAACTTTGCGCGCGTCAAAAAGTCAAACACGCATTGATCAGGCTTATGGATCCCAACCTTTGAGAATGTAAACTCACATCGGATATGTGTCTCGGTTACGCATGGGGCTATTACATTTTCAATGAAGTTTTAAATGCTCACGTGTCTTGTGAATTTTCACAGCACATGATCATCACCTGACAAGAAGAGCATAATTAGTCCTTCAGTACTCGCTTTTCACTTTTACAGATCTGGATTCCATTCTCTAATACTCTGTTTCCCGCCTGTCGTAAGGCTGCCATTCTGCCTCATTCTCCTAGTTTATTATACTTTCACGCTCTGCTACCATGGCCGCGACAGCAGATCTACGACAGCTTCTCGAGAGATCTAGACTTCTTGCGAGCAGCATATCGCATCAGACGGATTTGCCACCAATCGAAAGAAACTTGGAGCAGATCGAGGCACAGTCGCGTAGACTGGCAAGTAAAGTTACGAAACCGGGCGAAGCACCTGAACGCAGAGCGTAGGTATTTTAGAGGAAGAGGAGGAGAAAGGGACTGCGGCTTGAGACGGTTGTGAAATAGTTGTGGGGGAGACTATTAGTGAAATCAAAGAAAAAGGGGGGCGATCAAAACTAGAATTAAGATCAGAAATGAAAAGTTGAAGGTGTAATTGTGGCATGAGTGAGATTTAACTGTGGTTAATGGGATTTGAAAATGTTAATTATTTTAATTTAACGTATTTTCACAATATGATTGTAAACTTTTTTCATTACCGGATAATAAACGAACGAATTACCATACAGTCCATATTTTTTAGCGGGAATTGGTATCGATGGAGAAAAACTTACCGAACACGTTAAAGGAATCAAAGTACTCAACGCGTTTGAGCCACGCGAAATATTGGCAGATACTGACATCACCGTGAGTTACTATTGTATAACATTCATCACGAACGCATATATACGCAGACACTGCACACACGCAACAACTCGACATAAACGGTTCAGAGTCAAAAAATTCTAATCTCATTTTTATAACAAACATAGAGTTACTTGGAACATAAGTACAAGCAAACAGTCACTAGTGTTATAGCAGATGGGCGAGAACAGGTGAGACACTATTCCTCATCCTTTATTTTCGATTCGAGTTTTGTATTGACATCCATCTATTTTTGCTTTGTCATGAACTTTTGTCAAGACTATGCGAGATTATCAGGAAAACTTTGAAAGAGCAATACGGATTGATTGGGAAAGAATGAAACGACGCGTTTTTGAAGAACTGGGACAATACAAACCATCACTGAGATCAACTGGCATTGACACAGCTAGCTACATAGGAACTCCATACGCCCAAAGAGTATTAACAACTCCTGGTGGTATGACGCCGGCCAGGGCGACTGTCGAGACCCCGACGGTTTGTTTCAAAGGATTTGTTGATTTTTGGGCTCTCGAGTTGCGTTCGTACATTTTGCCTTGTTAACCAACTCTTTGATGGTTCGTTTGTTTAGAGAACACCAGCGACAATATCGAGAGATCGTCAATCGGTGTTGCAACGGTCTGAATCTCGGCTTCAGGTGAATCAGAGAATGATGCTATACTACGACGTAATACGAAGGTTGAATGAACATCGGTTACAAAAACGCGATTTTGGAATCATTAATTCGTTTTATGAAGTAGCAAAGAAGATCGGGATCGAATCTGTAGGATATTAATTTCATCTACGTTGTATATATTGCACTGCGTGTTGTTGCGTTTATTTACATTAGCACGTTCGACCATTCACGTTCTCGACCATCACTTTTTTTTTAGAAACAAAGAATATTGCAGGGATGGAGGGCATTGTCGATGATTGTTGGAGAGAAAAATGTACTTGAAGGTCGATTTCAGGGTATCCCGTTGAAAGAGCGACAATTTACAAAAGCGTATAATGCTCACCCAGAATCTAAACTGGCTGCCAAGCTGCGCGAAGAACATGTAACGGGGGCAAGACATTATTTGGAAGTGGAGTATCCTTTACCTGTTTTGTAAATAATAGTTTATATGTAGAATTTTGTCTCATGTTGATTCTTAACACTTGAATGTTTCAAGATATAACGAATGGTGTCAGCAGTTTATAGAACATTATAGGACTGAAGCACAATTAGGTGGAGTACCGAGTGTTGTGCATACAGCACGTGCCTTTTTACGTGCATATCATCGACAGAATGGGGGAGTTCCAACAACGTCCTTGGATGTAGGTGATCTTTATCTTATATGTAAACGTTCAATGAACCTTTGCGTACTGAACATGCTTTACTTATAATTTAGATGTTTGAAGGAATTCCTCTTTGGGGGCTAATATTCAATTTGACAAGGCGTGGGAAGTTGGTAGAAGCTTTAAATGTGGCAAAAAGTTTAGAAAAGTGCATAAATAAGAATGATCTTATTTTCTTAAAGTACTTTGATGAATATGTAAATCACAAACGGTACATGGTCACGTCTTTTTTCTGCTGTATGTTTAAAAGAATTTGTATTTTATAACTAAACATCTTTGCTTAATCTTTAGTCTAAGTAAGACTTCTCGAGACCAATTAATGGCAGAACTCAAGAAGAGAGATTTGTTTAAACAGATGGAGGATCCGTATAAAATAGTAATGTTTTATTTGGTCGCGCAAGTCAAGTTTGGCAATGCTTCTTCTCTGTCAAAATCGGTTATACGAACAGTAGAAGACTACCTATGGTTCAAGGTGGGGTTTGTCTGCTCGTTTTATATGTTTACCCACTTATAGCGTACTTTGAATTAATTCAATCCTTGCTCGACTGCTATTTTTTCCCTCAAAACACAGCTCGCAATAGTACGCGAACCGTCCGAAGGTCATGGGCGTGAGTCATCGTACGAAGTATATACGATCCGCGATTTACAGAAAGAGATAGCTCAAGATGAAGTTTCGGATAACGTCAGCATGTCAGGAAAAGATTTTGTAAACCACTTCCGGTTACTGTTGTTGTCAGGACAGTTTGAGAGAGCTGTTTTTTATTTACACCAGACTGAATGTGATGTCGAAGCCGTACATTTTGCTATCGCGCTGGCTTATTATGGTTTATTACGAGTTCCAGAAACGCAGGATGCTGTTTCTCTATGTGAGTGGGCATGTTCGTTTATTATGCATATGACGTTCTCTTTGGCATTTTGTTGATTGTATACCTTTTTTTTTGTTTTACTGCCAGTTTTAGAAAAGGACGAACAGGCATACCTCAATTTTAACTCTTTAATGTACTTTTATCCGCAACGCTTTTCGCAATCGAACCCACGCGAAGCACTTCAATATACTATTCTCATGTACTTGTATGGAGATACAGACAGCGAATTTGGACGGCAGCAGATAGACATAAGCCATGATTACGTCAGGCAGCTCGTCTATGAGAACCAGGCATTTAGCGAATTAATCGGGAGTACTGTGCTAGGCACGGTAAGTGGTTCGGGGCGAGAGGGAGAAGGAAAAGGAAATAATAACGACTTTGGGGGGAAAGTGCTGACTGTCTGTATTTATGGCTTTTTAGGAGGGCGAGATTAAGAGGTTTACGCCATTAATGTTCTTGAGGACAGAGTATGACTTTAAAGATAAAATCATCAAGCCTCTTGCGCGACAATGTGAAAATGACGGAAGATTCAAAGCTGCTGTTAGTTTGTTCGAGTTAATTCAGGTGAGTTATATAAACGTTAAGACTGGCATATTGACGTATTAGGCATAATTATCAATCACCGGGTTTTCTCTTTGATTACTTATTTTTCATAGGACTATGAGATGATCATTGTAATCTTAAATAAAATGCTGGGTGAATATATCTATAACAAATTGCACAAAACAACTTTTTCAAAGGAAGACCTGGAGGAATTGAATCCAATAGACATTAAAGCTATTTTTGAAAGATACGAGGCACAGACTATTATCAGCCATCAGGCATATCCAAATCGAGTGCAAGATTGCAGGAACTTGATCAGGATAACTGATTTTATGCTATTATATGAAAACAAAGATTATGGCAAGGCCATGGACGTAAGTATTCAAAGGCGTGAACAGCTAGTGATGTTATGTCTATCCATTTATCATTATTAATTTTTTTTCTCCTGTATTACTAGTTGATTGAGGAAGTCGATGTTATTCCACTAGACGGAGATATTAATCGAGTTGCTCGATGCGCAAATCAGTTGTCGATGTATGATGACGCATTAAAAAGGAATATACCCGACATTATGTTGATGATTATGCAGAATATGCATGATTATTACGTTCATTTGAAAACAACAGTCACTTCACACACGCTATACAAGAACGATGACGCGTATCTGGTAAGTAGAATAGTCTGGTCAGAGCATTGTATGGAATAAAAGAGTTTGCTGGTACTGAGATTATCTTTTGTATTAGAAAATGGAACATTTACAGAGAAAAGCACGTAACCTCGTTCATTTTGCTGGATACGTAAATGTCAAGTAAGTATCCGAAATCAATTCGAACATTTATTTTGCTATTTCGAGTTATCATTACTAAGTTGGATTCTTTCATCAGGGTTCCTCCGAACGTCTACAGTCAATTGAATACTCTGGAAGTCTCGATGCGATAATGTTGATTAAAGTCTGTTAGAACCTATCCTAATAAATAAAAACAATAATAGAAAACGAGCCAGGATGTGATTGAATGAGGATATTGTATTTAATAGTTGTTACTTTTCTGAATACGCTATAAACAAGGATTTCCTGAATTTGCATAAACGGATAATACTCCAACAATAAAGTTAATGTTAAACTGGATTTCCGTACGTCTCTATTTTCATGGTGAGCGAGCAGAGTTGAATTAACCAATTAAAGTATTAGGTGAAAGTGCGAAATTCTGTAAATATATAGAGGGAAATGAGCAAGTTTAAATTGATTGTGACTGCTTGTGTTTTCATGTGTTTATTTTTTAATTGTTAGGACTTGCCGTAAAAAAAGGTCCTTGCTACACTAGTTTATGGCTTATTATTCAAATGGTTTCGTGAGATTCTACCGTTGGGGTCAATCGCTAGTGTGTTACATAAAAAAGGCAGTAACTCCCTACGGTCACGTATTACTCAATCGTGATCCAGCATTTCGATAAATAGTACGAAAGCGAATATGGTTATTGGTTGCAGTTATCGGATAGAGATATCTGTAAAATCTCGGCAATTAGTCGGCCACTCTATGAGTCGTTTTTGGCTAAAGTCGACTAAAGCCTTTTTCTACAAGATTTAAAAATTCGACCCAATCTATGAGAATTCTGATAAGCTGCAGGTCTGGGCCAGATGCGAATACATCGATAAGTCGAAGTCGAACAATAACACAGAGTTTTTATGAATTGGTTGCTCGTAGGATGATAACGACAGTATGTCATTTAACATGTTATTAGCTCATACTATTAATGCATATGCAGTCATTAGATCATACAATTCAATATTAATTAATATATTTATTGAACTACATACAACAATCGAATGGTTTAAGCGTAAATGGTTCGTTGTTATCAGGGATCAAAACTTTACAGCCATAGAAATACGAGTCAATGCTCCAAGACAAGTTAGGTTGCAGATTATTAATTATTAATCAATAATAATAAACGAATTAATTCAAAAGATTTACCACGTGATTCTCGTAAGTTACTCGCGATGAATTCGATTCATCGTTTTATTTAGAACTTGCTAAACTAATTACAACCATCATTAACTTAAATGGGTTGTGTTGAGCAGTCGCGCGGCGTCAATGAAAATATTTTTAATAGTTTTGTTTACTGTGTTTAGTTATATTAGAAATTAGGTAACAATATCATTATGTGCTCATTGTCATCGTATTTTTCGAGGACAAAAGACATTTGAACTTCTTTCGATGGGAAAGTAGACTCCCTCTACCCCATGTTCTTACCCAACCAAAAACAGTATTATCAATAATGACGTTACATTTAACAAATATTTAAGATATATTTGTGTTACCATAAGAGTGTGACAAATAAAGTCTTATCATGTAAGTAGTATTGCAGTCAGAACGAATAGACGCTAAATCTTACTGTATAAAATTCTGGTTTCGACGCACATCTGACTTTGGGAGAATACCTCTTTTGAACTAGCGTTCTCGGTCCTTTTCCACCATAGTGTCATTTCAGGGTCTTTTTGAAATGTTCTGATTGGCGCTGATGCGTCGACAATATCAACGTTTTAGAACGTCTTTGTCATGCGTCATAAAAAATTTTTCGATTACTATGTATTATTCGGTAAGCACTTTCATAGTCCCGGCTAACCATCTGCCCCACCAACAATCATAAAGCTATAAATGAATCCATTGTTAATTACAATTTCCTTAAAAATAGATCACGAAGATCAAAGATGTTTAATTTACACACATAGTTGGTTGGTCTCGTTTCACAAAGTATGATAACAGGCTAAATTTAGACAACTGATTGCACAGCTAATTCCTTAGGCCAAATTTCTGTAAACAATGGAAACGGGTAAACCTGGTCGTTTTAAAGAACGCCAATATCCCCTATGGAATTTTCGGTTTGTCGAAGACATGTTATTGGATAAACGCTTGCATCAAAGCAAAAGTCTTACTCACATTTTACGTCATTACGATTTTCCCCCCAAGGAAACGTTTCGGTGCAGGATTAAATACAAGTTTGTGACGTATTTGATCATTTAGTTGATAATCTAAGAACACCCAAAACGATTGTTCTTTCTTTGTTTCTGTGTGTCGGGCATTGAATTTAAGTTGACGAAGGGATGTTGTAACGAGTTAAAAGATTGTAATTATGTAAAACTTGCTTAGGGAACAACTTTGAACCGCACAAACGAAAAACATATTTAAACAGCCGTTGTATATCTTCTGAAATCTTATCACGCAAGGTTAATTAGCTTGTCAAATTTAATTCTTTGCTTCGATTGTGAAATTTTCGAGATGGCTTTTTTCAAAGTTTCAAGACTGTTGGCTATTCTTGTCGTAATGTTTGCGGCCTTGGCTGTTTGTAGCCCAATCGTAAATTTGAGTGAAAGACAAAATACTCCCGTTCTTCATGTCCCGTCTCCAGGCCCTGGTCCGTGGGCTATTGAATCTATTCAGAACGTTAGTTGGTGGTGTAACGAGTGTGGCCAAAATGGTAATATGCGCATATTTGACTTTGGTTATTTTTGGCAATGTTTGAAAGCAAATATTAATAAAGCTTCTGTTCCAAACAGACCGGGTAGTTATTGAAATTATCAAAAACGGTACAACTGTCGTACGTAGAACAACGGTAAGAGTAATTTCATAAATATTTGGAAAACTAATGATTATTCTATCAATTTTGCTAAAATCGAGTGTTTAAAAAGGGTCACAATGCCAATAGCGGCACGAAAGACTTTCTAATTGATCCAAGGTGGGCTACCGTCGGTGATACGTTCACTGTTAGAGTAACCGATACGCGACTTCATGTTTCTGGAACTAGTGGACCGTTTACAGTTTTTAAGACTCAAGGATAAGTAATTGGTTTGGGGGAGATTGTTGGCACGTGTTCTGGTTAAAAGCCACGAGATTCAGCATGTGCAGTTAAATTTTTTATATGAGCCAAAATTTTTTCTGTAAACATGTAGCTTTTCCCCTCCCGTTTAATAAATTAACATGTCATGATAATATTAGAAATGTGATAAAAGTGATTTCGTACAGTTGTTGGGGGAATGTCAGCGGAAGCCGGATGTGCTTGGCAACCGTATTCAATCTATCTACAAACCATGAATACTAATTAGAATAATCGTAACAAGATTATATTGTCCTCTTACGTATTTGATTGTCAGAAAACATATTGTAAAATATGTTATAACATATTTGCGCACCGCAGAGAATAAAACTTGATCTTTAATTTGTAACATTCAGTTATTAGTTAAGCACAAAGACATGCCTAAGCTGGTAAGCAATCCCCCGTCATTTTAAGGTAATTGACACGTTTAGGATCTCTACGGTTTGACTAGTTCCCAGAGCGTTAACTTATTAATATTAGCAAAAGTGTATTTGTTCGCCAATAAATTCATCGTACTACCAAACTAAACTGCATATATTATTTAAGACGTATACAGCGGTCATATATCAATTCATCTATATCCTCCTAAAAGCCTCTACACGTTCCAAAGTGTGGATTAAACGAGTAATTTGCTTAGTAGTCAGGGGAAATGTCCCCTCGAATCATTTTCATAAGTAAATTTTTGGTGTAACGTGAGATGCAAAGGAATTTGCG